AAGCAATCTTTGTCCTAGTATGAGAATATAGGATACTTCATTCAACAGGTTGGTTGTATGATTTCTCAACTCCAATGTTGTTAAGGTATATGGATCTTTCTTTGTACTCTTGTTCTAGGCCATGAAAATAACAGGTTCCTCAAATAGAGTTCCCTGCTCCCATTGTCATACCTAATGTATCTGTGATTGCTTAGTGTCAGGCAAACACAGGAACTCAGAGTGAAGCTTTTAAAACCTGGAAGACCATGTTTCCTCATTCTGACAGCATTTTCAGACCATGCTGCTGCTGGCTTGGTTCGCGGTTTAACATTCGCTAAGAAAGGTCTGACAGACTGTGTTAGTCAGTAAATGTCACTAGGCTAACTACAGTGACTTATTGTTTAAGATCAGACAGACCCACTGACTGCAAGGTTTGGGGTCAGTACAAATACATACTAGGTTGAACAGTGGATCCAAACTACAGAGGAGTGAGTGCTTTTCAGATGGTAACTGATCCGTTTTCACTAGCCACGTGGACCTTCATCCTTAAGGTCCATTTTGGTCCTTAGGAAGCCGTGGAAACTGAGAGAGCTTTAGCTCACCTCCTGGAGACAGGGCAAGAAAGATACACCATAGCAACTTAACCAAGAGTAGTAAGTGTGTTACTAAGAAAGAACCCCTCCTCTTTCTCCTCCAACCATTTGAGAGTATGTTACCTGCTATCCCAGATTATTTCCATCTATATTTTTTTTTCAATGTAGGCATTTTCCCACATGGTTACAAAAACAATCAGAAATCTGAAAAGTCCCGTCAATACATCACCACCATCTAATCCTCAGACTCTATACAGGTTCAATAAAAATGTCCTTAATGGCCAAGGATCTAGTTCAGAATTTTGGGTTTCTTCAGATTCTCGAAGCACTTTAAAAAATTCCAAAACCAGGCTCAGAGCTATGGACTGGATAACAACTTCTAGCCATCCTGTAATTGTAACAAAAATTGTAACAAAATTGTAACAAAAGCAGATTGCCATCTCTGCTGCAGAGTGACTGGTAGGTTCCAGCCACTGGACCTTTTTTTGGTTTTGGTTTAGTTTTTGAGGGCTTCACAGATTTTATGTAAGGTCCATAGCAACGGTCTACTTTTTCTTTCTTTGTAACTTTCTAACAAAAGTTTATAGAAAACTTGGATTTCCATTCATTCATTGTTGCACATCCCACCCCCACCCCAGTTCACTTTCCTCTTTAAAAAGATTCTTTCATTGTTACACAGTTTCCTCCCTCCCCCTGCCCCCAGTCCAATTTGCTGTGCACCTCCTATTCTGGATTTTTAAACAGTTCTTTCCCTCATCTGTTTCAGTGCAGTGTTCATTATTTATCCCTTCTTTTCTTAGTTTTCCCCTAACCGTCATGTCAGTCGTGTTTTTAACAGTGGCATTATGCAGTATTTGTCCTTTTGTTTTTTTTTTTTTCTTTAAATAAAATGTCAATGTTTATTTCAAGGTAAGTACAATAACAATTTAATACAATATACCTAAATACACACAAAACTTGTCTATAACAAACTACAAAAACAGTTTCTACAGCCATATATAGTGTTAGTGAAGCATACATTTTCACAGTGTACAAGTACTAACAAGTATGTTAATAAACCACTATCCTAAATCTTTTTTTTTCTATAATTATATTTTATTAATTTTCATAAACATTTATAGAGATTTTGGGCTTCCACTCATTCATTGTTGCACTATTCTCTCTACCCTCCTCCCAGTTTGTTCTTGTCCAAATGCCACAGTGCTTGTCAAAGCCAGTTCTGATTAATCTTCTTTGTCCTTTGCCATTCCCTATCACTCTTCCCTGAGAGAGACTTCACCCTGAGTCATAAGGAAAAGGGGATGGTGTATTCTCTTAGCTACTTCCTGCTGAAAAGGGACGCTGTGGGTTTCAGGGTGAAGATCTTCTCTCACTACTCTAAAGGGCCCCTTTGGCAGTAGGAAACACATAGACTATTATGGAGATTGATTTTGGAATTCAGATGCACTCTTATTGATTGTGCTTGGCCATACATGTTCATATCCTTGAAGATGTATCATGGGGGTGTTGCAACCTAGAAGACACAAATTTGACTAACAAGTTATAAGTACATGAGTCCAAAAATTATGGAAAAGTAAAAGAAAAGATTCTTTCATTGTTTTACAAACCCTCCCCCAGGTCCCCTCCACCATGTAGCCCTCGCTCTAGTCTCCTGTGATGACAGAAATACCCAGTTATATCTTCTCTTTTAAACGGTTCTCTCCCTCCTCTGTTTCAGTGCAGTATACATTATTGAACCCATCTTACTCAGTCTCTCCCCAACCCCAAGGACAGTCCCATTCTACAACAGTGGCATCATGTAATATTTGTCCTTTTGTGACTGGGATATTTCACTCAGCATAATGTTCTCCAGAGTCAACCATTTTGAATAATATTGCATGAGTTCCTTGTTTTTTAATGCAGCATAGTATTCCATTGTGCGATTATACCACAGCTTCTCTAGCCATTCGTTTGTTGATGGGTATTTGTCCTTTTGTGACTGAGATAATTCACTCAGCATGATGTCCTTGAGGGTCTCCCATCTCGTGTAATATTTTATGAGGTCCTTGTTTCTGAGCGCTATGTAGTATCCCATTGTGTGAATATACCACAGCTTCTCTAGCCATTCGTTTGCTGATGTGCACTTGGCTTGCTTCCATTTTTTGCTATTGTAAACAAAGCAACAATAAGCATGGGTGTGTATATATCTGTTTGGATGGCAGTTCTGGTTTCTTTAGGGTATATTTCTAGTAGAATTGCTAGGTCAAATGGTATTTCTCTTTCCAACTTTTTGAGAAAGCACTGCCTTGCCTTCCACAGTGGTTGCACCATTTTACACTCCCACCAACAGTGATTAAGGGTTCCAGTTTCTCCACAACCTCGCCAGCATTTGTTCTTTGCTGCTCTGTTGAACTTTGCTATTGTTACTGGAGTGAGATGGTATCTCATAATTGTTTTGGCAACAGTCTACTTTTTCTTCTTCATGTCCTGCTTCACAGCCTCCTTGGCTCTCTTGGCTTGGATCTTGAACAGCTGGGTGTGGGCATGAGTCGTGGAGACTAGCAGAGGCCTTGACGTCCTTCTCTTCCTGTGTGATGACCCAGGATTTCTCCTTCTTGTAGACATTCCGGAAGGGCATCACAGGTCCTGTTGGTTAAATGGTCAGTTTGAGTTCCTCAGCAGAAATTCCTCCCGTTTGGGTGGCAGAAGGCTTCTGTAAGAAGAGGATGAGCTTGGAGTGATACTCCTGCAGCTGCTGCACGTTGGCCTGTAAGGACTCGGTGGACTTGTTCCTCCTCTGTGGGTCCATGGGGACTGTGATGTTCCAAGCCACCTTCTTAGGGATGCCAGCCACCCTGAGGTCTTCAGGGTGAAGCCCCTGCCGGCTCACACTTGGGTGTGATACTGCACCGGGTGGTAACACTTGCTGTGCCGGAAGTGGAGCGCGGGGCAATGTAAGCCATTGACTTTTTAGTTAGAAGGCAGGCTACTTCAACCACTGTGCTGCTAGAAGTCCTTTTTAAGATGGCAAGCCAGTTCTTTTATAGTGTGTGTTAAATGTCTCCTCGTTGAGGGTGTCCAGTGTTTTCTTGTGATTAGATTCCAGGTGGTGCTTTTTGTGTTATTTTGTGTGGTCCTTGGGTGTCATCACTGAAGTGGTCTTTACCAATGGTGATGATACAGAATTCTTCAAATTGTGCAATCATTTTCGCCTTCCTCACTACCCCTCATCTTTGTCTGTAACCAGCCCGTCAAGTGTTGCTGTTATCAGTTTGATCACTTGTAGATAGTTCTGGTTCACCTAAACTAGTTACTTCTTGGACATCTGAGAGTTGGACAGTGACTAAGAGTGACAGAAGAAGAAGTGAAGCATTTGAGTTGTGGTGTTGGAGGAAAGTACTGAACTACCCTATGCACGGCAAAAAGAACAAATGTCTTGGAGAAAGTGCAACCAGGGAGCTCCTTAGAGGAAAGGATGGTGAGACTTTGTCTCATCTACTTTGTGCGTGTTGTCAGGAGGTCCCAGACTTTGGAAGAGAACATTTGCTTGGAAAGGTAGAGGCTCAACATAAAAGAGGAAGAACTTCAGCAAGGTGGAATGACACTGTAGCAACAAGTCCAAGTTTGTTGGAGATGGTGAGGATGGCACAGGATAGAGGGGCTCAGCTGTGTTGTTCCTAGGGTCACACTGAGTCACTGTCGACTCAGTGGCACCTAAGAAGGGTTAAGCTAACTATAACTACAGGAGTTCATTCATAGTTCTACAAAGTTTGCAGTGTATGAGCGTTTGAAGTTATGTTCTGTACAGCATTCAGTCAGCGTTCTGCTCTTCTTTGGTGAGGTCAGGAATGGTAGCCTGATGCCATCCAGATCTGACTTCATGGAAGAAGAAGCTTCAGCCCTGAGTCTCAGCTGAACTTGTTCCTTCTTTCCTAGGCCTTTGGAGAAGGTAGTTTTCACAGCCCAGGGCTGCTGTCATAGCTCCCTAGCTCATTGTTTTTCTGCCTTTATTGTTTTATTGTCATCTGCCATCATTATCCCTCTATAGATAAGCATATTTTGTTGGCTTTTCACAAAGAATGTTTGTTATTGAGGCCCTTAGTCACTATCCATTTTTGTTCACTTGATTATTTATGTAGAAGAAAGGCAGAGTTGAAGAACTAGAATGGAGGTGTTGTCTTGATGAGCTTTGCTGTCTTCCTTCAGTCCACGGTGCATGCCTTGTTTGTTGTTGTTGTTATGTGCCGTCGAGTCGCTTGCTCATAGCGACCCTGTATACAACAGCCCTAAACTCCATGCCTTAGTCTTCTCTGGATTACCAGCATCAGGCGTTGAAGTGGAACCCTGACTCTTGTAATGAACAGCAAACCTCTAATACTGAAATCTCTCCAAGATGTGATTGGGGCCCACATAGCTCATTTCTAAGCATCTTTACCCTTTTTTCCACAGAAGCTGGTCTTCTGCCCCTTGAAGGAAGCTCTGGAAGTGGACTGGCGCAGTGAGAAAGCCAAAGCCTCCCTGAAGCGCACAGCTTCGGATTACTTTCTCCTTCAAGGTGAGGGCCCAGCGTGGCTTCCCAGCTGGACTGGGGGCTGAGCCGAGATTACAGGTTTTTCTTGATGTCTTCCTTGAACTGAGTGCCCACAAAACTGCCTATGGTCTTCGTTGTCAGGAAGAGAACTCGAGAAGGGTAGTGAGTGGGGATGAGGCCCTCCACTGAGCTGTTTTGTCAGTGATAGTTGGTTTTTTATTATTTAAAAAATTCAGCCATCCTTTAACGTGGAGCTCGGTAAGTTTCACAAACTAGACAGCGTCTCTTCCCCCTTGTACTCCTCATAGTTCTCCTTTGGCCTCCTGAGGTTGGCATACTTTGTCCTTTCCTTGAGTATTAATGAACTATTTTTTCAGTCTTTCCTTGATGGTAATTGTTGTTGTTGTTATGTGCCGTCGAGTCGCTTGCGATTCATAGCGACCCTATGTACAACAGCCCTAAACTCTGCTCTGTCCTGTGCCAATCGCACTGTCTCTGACACACCCATCCCGATTACCCCAGTCACTGAATCAGTCTACCTCCTGGAGGGCCTTCCTCTTCTGTGCTGTCCCTCCAACCTCCCAAGCATGATGTCCTCCAAGGACCGGTCTCTCCTCACAACATGTCCAAAGTATGTCAGACGGAGCCTCAGAATCCTTGCCTCCAAGGAGCCACCCGGTTTAACCCTTTCCAGGACAAATCTGTTTGTTTTCCTAGCAGTCCATGGTCTTCTCAGTACTCTTCTCCAGCACCACAGCTCAAAGGCATCAATTCTCCTTCTATCCTCCTTGGTCATTGTCCAGCTCTCTGATGCATAACAAGTGATTGCAAAGACCATGGCCATGATGGTAATTAGACTGGTAATTTTATGTGTTCACTGGCTTTTTGGTGTTCTTTTTTTGCTTTGTGTTTTTCATTGTTATTTTAGATATTAAAAATAATACTTGCAACAATGAATAAATAAAAATGAAACATCTCTGTAAACATTCATTAAAATCACAATTAAAATTTTATTTTAAAAAAATAGTAAGTTGACAGAGGTGCGTGGTTCAAATCTACCAGACGCTCTGCTGGAGAAGGAGGGACACTCTCCTCCTGTACCAGTCAGATCCGATTTGACATTACACACGCAAAAATAATCAAATAAAATAAAAAAAAAATAATCAGTTGAAACCGAACTCCCGGCTGTTGAATAGATTCCCACTCATGGCGCCCCTCATGACAGGATGGCAGGGTTGTAAATCTACACAGGAAGAGATTGCCCGCTTTCTCCCACAGAGGAGCTTAGGAATTTGAACATTTCATCACATTAATACAGTTTCACTGCCATCAGTTCTGCTCATAGGGACCGTCCCTTCATCATGTTTCCAGGGCTATAAATTATACCAGGAGAAGGCTGCTCCTTCTCCCAGGGAGCTGCTGGTGCCTTTGAGTCAGCAGTGCAACCCCCAGACTGTCCTAAACATTTCTTTGGGACTGACCCTCCATTGGGTTTCCAGTTTTGTAAATCATACGAGAGGGGAGGCGCCTTATTCATTGTTACCCCCAGAAAGGGGCAGCCTTTGGATTAGTAACACAACTCTTTACAGAACTGTATACACGAGAGCTCAAACATAATGTGGTGTTGTTATTGTTATGTGCCATGGAGTCGCTTGCAACTCATAGCGACCCAGTGTATAACAGCTATGAACCCTGCTCTGTCCGATGCCAACCTTCTCGTTTCTGACACCTACCCTCATTACCCCAATCACAAATCAGTCCATCTAATTGAGGGAGGGTCTTCCTCTCTTTCTCTGTCCCTCCACCCTTCCAAGTAAGATGTTCCTCTCCAAGGACTGGTCTTTCCTTGCAACGGACCTAAAGTATGTTAGACAAAGCTTCAGAATCCTTTCCTCCAAGGAGCAGCCTAATTTTATCCTCTCTAGGACAAAATTCCTGTATGTTCTCCTAGCAGTCATAAGTATATTAAATACTCTTCTCCAGCACCACAGCTCCGAGGCATCAGTTCTTCTCTCATCCCTGTCATTGTCCAGCTTTCTAATGCATAGCAAGTAATTGCGAAGACTGTGGCCTTGATCAGGTGCACCTTAGTCTCCAGGCTAACATCGTTGCTCTTCAGTACACTGGAGAGGTCCCTGACAGCAGACTTTCCCAATACAATTTGTCTTTTGATTTCCTGGCTGCTGGTACCAAGAATGTTGATTGTGAAGCCAAGCACATTGAAGCTGTTAACAGTCATAGTAAGCATTAGCTCAGTGTTTAGCATGAACCATTGGGTGAATACTATTTCTGTTATACCAAAAAGGAAATGAAGGCACAGAGGGATTAAGATTATTTATATTCTCAAAGTTACAGGGCATTTCTTTAAACCTTGAACTGATACTGTCCCTTGAGGTCACCTCGTAGTAACCTAAGTAATTGGTTTAAAATAACACTGAATACCACACATAAGTAATACTCTTGTTTAAAAAATAACTCGTGTGAGACCAGCCACAGAACCCATTGCTGTCAAATTGATTCCATCTCACCAGAGACTCCTAAGACGGGAGAACTGGCCAAGGGGGCACCCGAGGCTGTAAATCTTTAAACCAACAAGCAGCTGGTGGGTGGTTAGAAACCACCTCTGGTTAATTACTCACCCCTTAACTCACTGTGTCTCTAGAGTTCCTTAAGTGAGACCAAATGGTCAACAGTTATTTTTAAAGTCAATATGAGAATGTCAAGGAAACTAGGTTGGTGGAACCAGAACTGAAATAAGGAGACTCGTCGTTGTGACAAACATAGGCAGTGTTCCTAAACAACGCGGATAGAAATTTCTGTGAGCATCAGAACTACTATGTAGACCTTCACCAGAAACACTAAAATATTACACAGCAAGTAAATGTACAAACACCATCAGTTGATTATTGATTGTGAAAAAATAATTCTAATACAAAGAAGGGGGAGAAATTCACTTTGACATTTTTGCTGTTGTGTGAATGTGCTGCCCCAGGTTGTCGGTGCTAAAACCCACCGCTCGGTTTTTACCATGTGTTGGAGGTCCTACCTCCTCCAGGCCTGTGTGACCTCCCCAGGGCCTGAGTATTTTTGAATAGTGGAGAGTCTGGGGTAGACGGTAGAGCTTTTATTTCTCAAATTTTTCAGCACATTTCTTCGTTGTATTTGGACATTATCCAGCCTCCATTTCTCTGAATCTGAATTGAGAGCTATGTTATTATGTTTACTCATTGACCTGTGCTAACTTCCCGCCTCCTGTCTACAAGTCGAGACAGATGATATATATATATTGACTCAAAGGGAACAGCATAAAACTTCATTAATAAGTAGTGAAAAGACTGGTGTAGGTCAGATTTTATCTAGCTATTATCTGTTAGTTTTTCCTGTACTGATTTATATGGAGCCCAGGTGGTGGTGTCAGTGGTTTGAACCCTCTGCCTGTTTTGTGGTGGGAAAACTAGCATTCTCTCCTCCTGTAAAGATTTATTTAACAAGGGAGCTCTGGTGGCCTAGTGGCAAGAAATTGCGCTGCAATCCCGAAGGCGTGCGGTTCAAATCCACCAGATGCTCTATTGGAGAAGAAGAGGCAATCTCCTCCTGTACCAGTCAGATCCGATTCGATGGCACACAACAAGTTTTTTGTTTTGTTTTGTTTTTTGTTGTTTGTTTGTTTGTTTGTTTGTTTAAAAAAGACCAGTCTTCTAATCCGAGTGGAGGGAGGTTCTAGTGACTCGGTGGTGAGGAGTTTTGCTGCTAGGACAAAGGCACATGATTTGAATCCACCAGGTGCTTTGCAGGAGAAGGATGGGTGGTCTCCTCCCAAGCAATGAACTGTCTCTGGAAACCCACCCGAGGGTCAGCTATGGGTCGGTTCTGACTTGACGGTACACAACAACAGTGGGCAGAGGAGCAGCGCTGGTGGCTTAATGGTAAACCCTAGTAGTTTCGTGCCTTGCGTGCCAGATTGCTAACCAAAAATCAGTGGTTCGAATCCACCATCTGCTCTCCTCAGGAAAAGTATAAGGCAGCCTGGTCTGTTCCTAAGATTTACAGCCTTGAAATCTCAATAAAGGATTACTAAGAATTGGAAATGACTCACAAGTAGTAGATTTGTTTATTTGCCTGTTACAGATAAACTTCTGTTTGCAAAATACGCAGTAAGTGCAAGTGTTATGCATAAAGTTACATGCCATTTGGCAGGTGTGCCCTGCAGCTCTGTAGTTGGGGTTTGGGGATTGACTCAGTTTACCCTTCATTCCTTGCTAGAGTAGATATTTATTAATACCATAGTTTAATATGATTTAAACTACGATAGAGAGCTCTGGTGACCTAGTAGCAAGAAGCTGTGTTGCAATCCTGAAGGGGTGCAGTTTGAATCCACTAGCTGTTCTGCAGGAGAAGGATGGCCAGTCTCTTCCTGTGCAATTAACTGTCTCTCAAAATCCACCGGGGGGTCAGCTTTGGGTCGGTTCCGACTCGGTGGTACACGACCTTTGACACTTTATTGAAGAACACATCTTCTGTGTTTGGTTCTTTTTTTTTTTACTCATTCCTGTGATCCTGCTTTTCGGTATCAAAGAGCTTTGAATTGGGAGGTAAACCTCTTCTCACCGGGAGGCAGGATGGCAGTTTTGAGTTCCCCTTGTCTGTGTCCCTCCCCTACAGCAGGCATGGCTAACGGAGCCCTCCTTGATGGGCGTAGCTAAACGATCACAGTCATGCCTTGTCTCCCTTAGCCTTCGCAGCTTTACATGGTGCTGCCAGCAGCCACTCTCTGCTGGGAATATCAGCTTCCTAGGGTGGCTGTAACAGAAGTACCACAAACTGGGTGGATTAAAACAAGAGATTTGCCCTCAGTTGCCAGAAATCAAAATGAAGGTGTCAGCAGGGCCACGCCCCCTCTGCAAACTAGAAGGGGGAAATCGGTCTCTTCAGTTTCTGGGAGTTCCCAGCAATCTCTGGCATTCCTTCATTTCCCAGCCACGTGCCTGATCGCTGCTTCATCCTCTTTCTTCCTGTGTGTCGTC